TTAAATACAATTTTATTGAAACCAGGTATCGAGAATAACGATCAATTCTTTTTTATCTAGCATTGGTAATCAGAACAAAAACTGTTGAAAAAACAAACAACTCACTTTCCTTTTGCAATCGTGTAATTATCCTCATCTTCAAAAATATAGTTCCATCTTGTTAGACCGCTCATAGTCGCCACGAACCTCAATGACGCATTATACCGCCTAAAAAGGTCTTTTTGTCTCGGCTTGAAAACCCATTTCTCCATGAAAGTGTCGTGCGTATTTCGGGCATCGAATATCAAACGCTGAACCAAGTGCATATCGCAGTAGTAGTCCTCTTGCTCGAGGTGTTTTCTAGTTTCTTCGTACTGACTTTCCCATTTGAAGTTGCGGTCATACATTTTTGCTAGGAAGTGAAGCAGTTCCTTTTCGGGAGTGGGAAATTCATGGTCCTCGAGATAATGATACTTGCAGTACACCCTGAAAATAATTATAGTTGCAGTAGGAGATGTGGAGAAAACAATAGAAAAAATTTTTTTTTTGAATTGAAGGGGTTATATTTTTAGGAGTGACTAATTTTTTGGGAAAGAAAGTTATGGCTTTCTACTACTTCATCTTTGGAAGATTCCCACATTCAAGATGGAGAGGTAGAAGGTCGAAAACTATTTTTACAAAAATCAATCTCTCCAAAAAAATTATCCCTTTCAATTTGAGTATTTTCCTTCAGAGACTATAATATAAAATCGTATAGGAAACGCAAATGGCAATTGAAAATACGACATTAAATATTTGCATAAGATACGTATATATGAATTAAATCAGGTAGACAGTTATGAAATTAGTGAAGTTTGTAACTAATTTGAGTAAGATAGTGATTAGTACCAAGTATGTCTTCATTTTTTTTCTTGAGAATATACATTCTGAAAATGTAGAAATCATAGTCATTGTTTACTTATTTTCACAAAAACAATGCCCACTTTCCATGAGGACATTTACATCTTCCAAATGTTTCAAGGGCTTACCCAGAAAATAATATTCAAAGAGTTTAGGTTCAGAAAAATGTTTTTAAAAGATGTTAGTGACCTTTCCACATTCCAATAAACTGGGAAGCATACCTCTATAAAAATAGATTTAAAACATATTGTCTATAGACAAGCGATTCTGCAATAGATCTTTCAGTAAAAGCATGATACATCAGGGGTAGATCAATTCTCTCATTAAAACAGATATATCAAAATTACACAAGCATTCCTGATCAAATGATTTCTCACATAATCTAGTGTTTCTTGGTTTAATAGATGATAGAACCATATCACATAAAATTAACCAAGTTGAGACATGATATCATCTAAAGGTATAGGTAGGTTCGATTCATTGCCATCGAAATTGACAAATATATGGTCTACGGTTTTAACCTAATTTCTGCTTATTATAGTTGGTCAACGGAATTTTAGCTTCAAATTGAATTCACTCACAGAAAATTACATAAGTCAGTGAAGTATCTATAACATTCATCGTTGATATTATATTAATCAAGGTTGAAATCTCAACTCCGAAAACTGTACTTGATAGGTTTGTAAGTAAGTGCAAACACATTTCACATATAAAGATAATCTCAAAATAGTTGTAAATATCCATTCAAAACATAATAATTTTGAAACCTCTTAAATTTTGGGTGTATGTTCGAATGATTACAATGTGATTGTTAAAAGTTATTTTATTCTTGTGAATTGAACGTTTACAAAAGTACCTACTGTAGGTATACTTGTACTGAAAGCAAAAGTTTGTAATTGGTACTTTAATGTACCGAATTTCAAAATAGTGTTGATATTTCCACGTTGTAACATGAGATGAAGCATCTAATCAAAATATATAACTGCTGAGTCAAAAGGCAATATAATATGTCCAAATTGATTGAAAATCGTTTAAACGAAAAACCGTGTTTTATTTCAGGGATATGAAGTTGCACACATTTATTTTGTACTTCAATTGTGAATGCTGAGAAATTATGAAAATGATGATGTTTCAGACACAAATCTCTGAAATTAGTATAATAACAAATATGGTGTGAAATATACAATATTAGCCTCACCATTTCGGATGTATTTTCCATTTCCCGGTGAAGAATGACGTTAAATTTTCTCCGGTATGTTTGTTCCTCAGAATCTCATCCCCCACTTCCAGGGAATAGTTTCCGTATTTGTGAGGAATCGCGATTCCCACGGTGAACGGCGTATCTTCTATGGGAGTATAATAATAGTCGTAAACCCCTTCGAACACTCTCCTCATGTCGTCGTAATGGTAGCTCAGTTTGATATTTCGCATGCTTCCATTAGCGCCATCTACCATTGCCTGTCTTAGCTTCATTACGCTTTCGGGCATAACCCTTGGGAAGCTCTCCCCGTCAGGCGCGTGCTGCTCCACTTGGGTCAGGTCGATGCTGTTGTAGTTCTCTTTCAGAATTCCTTCAAACTTTACATTATGAAATGATAACATATTAACTGAGAGATTCGTAAAAGATTAAAAATAAGAAGGGCCATAAAAATCTATGATATTATTTTCCACAATTAACACTCACAGTTATAACTGAGGATGTACAGTTATGAAGGTGAATTGACAGTTACAACTGTGAACTGCAAATAAGATGTATCCTGACCTAGCCAAAGTTAGATTCAGCTAGTGCAACTAGAAATTAAAAAACATTACTTCATGTGAACTCAACTTAGTTGAATATAGCTATAGTTATAGTTATATATAGTTACAGGTTAGATTTTATCTTTCAAGTGAGACGTGTGCAAAATATACATGCGTCTACAGACACTGGTACTAATTTAAAGTTATATCTGTGATTTCATAAATTACACCTTACGATTTTTACACCTTACGATTTGATCTTCACGAACTTTATTTGAAAAATTATTTATTATCTGTGTATCACTGTGAAAGTGAAATCAAATTATTACTATTAATTCGCACTTATGAGTGGGAATTTCTTAATTTACAGTAATAATATTATCAATTTTTGTAGCTCTTCTATGCTTTCGTATTATAAGGTGAACTCTATCAAAAAGAAAACCTCACCATTGGTCTCAAGTCTGGATGCATCAGGACGTATCCGTTGTTACTCACAATGAAAGCATATCCATTGACACCAATCTGAAACAATTTCAAAATTCATCAAATCTTTGACAACTGCCTCTTTTGTGTGCAATAATTGGGTAGATATAAGGAGGTTGAATATAGGAAGAATCTGAAAGAAGAGAAAAATCACCAAAAATTTAGTGATCAATGCTCTAAACTTGACAGAGTACGAAAACAAATTATTTTTCTTGTGTCTTGGGTGTGTTGGTATGGGGAACTGAAAACATGGGAGTACATTCCAAAACTGATCTGGTCAAATATATGTTTTACATATCATCAGACGCTACTTTGATGGTATCACAAAAAAGTTCATCCCCTGAGAAATAATTGATGGTTGCTACTTCTATCAAGAGATAAGTAAGATTATAAGTGTGACCGTGGAATTTCAGATGATTTTGTTTTTATCAAATTGGATGAACTGGTCAGATAGAAGGCAAAGTTAGTGATAGAAATGGACCCTATGGAATGCCAGGGTTGGTGCTTAATGAACAAGACGAGACTATAGTCAGTCATCCCCAACAAAATATATCATAGCAAAAAAAGCTAAACCATAGCCAGCATAATGCTAGTAGTATGCCAGTTACAGAATATTTCCGAAGAAGTCCCATGTTCCAAAAATTCACTATTGTAACAGTCCGTATATGCCGAATATTAACGAATTTTTTGCGAGCGAATATTAATTATTTATTCTACTGGGGTCTTACAAACAGTGACTGAACGGCAATTTTGTTGAAATCGCACAATATGTAATGATAAAATGTATAACTTGATAAAATATAATAAACATCAAATGTTCTTACGCTTGACATAAATAATGGCAATAATAGAAAGTATAAGCTGAAAAAACTTCTCAACTTTGTAGTTCAACATTTTCAGAGATCCACTAAGCATGAATTCTGTTACATAATTGAATATATCATTATATTTCATTTTGTAATTTGAAAATTTACAAAACTTTTCAAATCAATAAATGCTTTCAATCAATTGGGTTCATTTTATGACAAACAATTTTTTTTCAAAATAAATTTTTTGCAATTGTCATGATTATTATTTAAATATTCCGCCAAATGTGTGCTTTACCTGGTGTAAGATATGTTCAACATGTGGAATTCAGTAAGTTGGTACAGGCACAGTAGAATGCTAAAGATCTATACTGTACACGCTACGGCTGATGGCGAGCGATCGTGCAGGTATAGACTCTCCTAACTAAATTACTATTGGATTACGATAAGCTCCTTGACAGCCCAGTGTCGTACCTATATAATTAGTTTCAATTAGGATAGCAAATGGAACATGATTCTTTGTAATTTCTCATCATATTTTATTTAGTACTATAGGTAGAAGCACAGTTTATTAAAATATATAATGATACACTTATCCAAAAATAAACTTTAATCAGTCACTATCTGAATAAAAATTTTCTTCATTTCCACTGCTGCTTGTGCTGCTATCCTCATTTAAATTTAAAATCACTACATTTATCTCTGTTTGAACGTTCCCAATATTTCCGCTTTATATCTACTACATGTCGGCGGCAATTCCTCGTGCTTCGACAGTTTTCTCACATCTTCCAACTTGAAAGTTACATTCTTTTGGGACACTTGTTCAAAAAAATGGGATTCAAATCCCAATGGTGAGGTAGAAGTCGCAAAACGTTATATCCATGTTCAAGCAGAACCTTATCAAATTTGACCAACTCGTACAATTCGGGTTTGAGCATGTTAGGGGTGAACGTAATATTTTTTTAGTGCAGCCACTCCACCATGTCAGCCTTCCTAGAATTTGTGTTGGGAACTGGCATAATTTGAATATTATGGTGTGGAGCATTATCGATCACGACTACCGAATTGACAGGTAAACTTGGGATTAATTTTTCTTGTAACCATTTACCATAATTTTCAGAATTTTTTTCTGAATGATAATCCCCTGATGTTGTGCCTAATTTAAATATAGACCGAGACTCATTATTGTCCATAGGCATGGACAATAATGAGTCTCGGCCCCTTCGCCATATTTTTAAACAACCCTTTGGTGGATCATTCGTCCAGTTCTTGAAAGATGTATGTCCACTATGGAGGTATGTTTAATTTGTAAATACTTGATCCTCAATGCTCTTATGTATATTCTTTCTGTTGAAATTTTTCTATTGTTTTCAGCCCTTCTTCATTTGAAACCTATTTTTTTCAAAATTCTACGAAGAGGTGTTTCGGAAGCCATAATATAATTTGTCAAAGTATCTTTGATATCATATTTTATTTTTTTTCACAAATGACATTTGGAATATTGAAATTTAGTGAAAGAACAGCTAACGAAACAAAGATAACCGCAACAAATGCAATGGCATATAACATTCCATCTAACCTGATCTTCGAATTCTAAAACGAACGTATTTTCGAATATTTCATTTTGCAAGAACTTTCTATCCTCAAAATTCAACCTGACCTTCAAATCGTAAAAGGAACGTGTTTTCAAATATTTACATTTTTAAAAACTATCTATCCTCATCTTCTAACCTGACCTTCGAACTCTGAAACAAGTTTTTTTCCAAATATTGAATTTTTGAAAAAATATCTAAACTTACCTCCGAATTCTGTAAGAAACGAATGTTCGAATATTCAATTTAAAAAAAAATCTATTCTCAACATCTAACCTGACCTCCGAATTCCAAAAAGGAACGTATTTTCGAATGAATATTCAATTTGAAAAAATATCTTTTCTCAACATCTAAACTAACCTCCGAATTCAAAAATGAAAGTATTTTCGAAAACTCAAGTTTGTAAAAACTTTCCTCAACATCTTACCTGACTTCGAATTCTAAAAGGAACGTATTTTCTAATATTCAATCTTTCGTCAACATCTAACCTGACCTCTAAACTCTAGAACTTTCTTTCCTCAACATCTAACCTGACCAAATTCTTGGTGGAACGTATTTTCGAATATTTTATTGGAAAAAAAAATCTTTCTTCAACACCAACCTAACCTCCGAATTCTAAAAGAAACGTATTCTCGAATATTCAACTTTGAAAAAACTACCTTTTGTCAACATCTAACCTTACCTCTGAATTCTAGAAAGAATGCTTTTTCGAATATTCAATTTTCAAAAAACTTTCCTCAACATCTAACTTGACGTCTGAATTCTTTAAGAAATGTATTTTAAAATATTTAATTAAAAAAAAATATTTCCGCAACATCTAACTCAACCCTCGAATTCATAAACGAACGTATTTTCGAATATTCAATTTTGTTAAAAATATCTTTCCTCAACATCTAACCCAACCTCCGAATTCTAAAAAGAACGTATTTTAGAATAATTAATTGCAACCAATTGCAAAGATGGACAACAACTGGTTACATATGTGAAGTTTTTCATGTTTGGCAACCAGTTGTTGTCCATCTTTGCAATTGGCTGCATCGCGCTGATGAGGCCAATATCCAGAAACACGTGTCCGCGGTTTTGGACATGCTAGAAATTATATGGTACAAGAATTTATTACGTGGACCTGTTGTTGACAATGAGCAGGAAAATAAAGAGTAACAATTTTGTGATTGCTTCGAAGAGAAAATCACAGTCCATATTCAGTTTTTTTTCTAATATATTCTTTATCAAAAAAAATATATTGAAATTATTTCTGTTGTCACTATTGCAATATTGAATGCGTTAATAAAGGATGTTTCTTGGGGGTTATTTTGAGTAAACACATTTGAGTTTCGTGCAGAAGCAGATAAATCCAATAACTATTATTTTTTCAAAAAGTTCTATGAAACCAATTTCACCAAAATCTAGGGATTCCAAAGATCAACCCTTATGACGCATTCTGCCAAAAAAAATTCCAAAAATATACCAGTGATTGCATACTACACCTTTTTGTTGATTTACTCAGAAAAAGTGAATTCATCGAGTTTGTACATGTACATAAACTATTCACTTGTAAAACAGAGTTATTTACGTAATATTAATTTATTATTTAAAAATATGAATCTGATATAAAACATTATTTTGTGCTAGTATAATGTCAACAAAGCATTGCTGTTTGCGAATTGTACATGGGATAATCGATATCCGGAGGGAAAAGTGTTTTTTATACCATTTATAAAACCTCATAATGATGAGGTTAGATGTAAGAAATGGATACATGCTTCGAGGAGAGTGGATTTAACAGTGCAAAAAATAAATAACTATTCATATGTATGCTATAAACATGAAATGAATAGTAAATTTTTCATAGTTAATTACCATTGATTAGAAGAGACATAACCTCAATCGTTTATTAAATCATATTCATTATATTTAATTAAATTTATTTCATTACCATCTACATTTGATTCACGATTCACTCGGAAATAAGTCTGAAATTCATAATTATTTTAAATATCTTTTATTACAGTTTTCTACCGCTACTCGTTTACTAGAGTCTGTATACTAACTTGTCTATTAATTCACTTTTTTTCCAGTTACTTTTAAATTATGGCATGCAAACCAACGTTTTAATGTTACAACATTGTTATCCTTTACAGTTGCAAATTTTAGTTTTACTCCAGGAACATTTTCTTCTGTTAAAAACATTCTTTTTTAATTGTACTTTACCATATGTTTATATGAGAATTAGGCAGTGTTTATTTCTACCGAACTACTAGCGCTGCTAGTGAGTGATTTTTCGTACTTCAGGAAAAAGGTTCTTTGTTTCAGAATGATCAAATGGGAAATTCGGTGGTTGATAGTTAGAACGAAATTCTGATCCGCGGTGGCCCCCTCGTTCTCCAGATCTCACCCCATCAGATTTTTCATTGGAATATTTAAAGCAAAAGGTTTACAAGGATCGAGCATTCAATAATGCTGAGGAGCTTGAAAATTTGATACGATATCATTGCAGAAAGATTTCAGCAAGTGTGTTGCGATCCACTCTTTGTGAATTTTATAATTGGACAATGAAATGCTTTGAACGGGAAGGTGGATACACAGTGATACGTCGATAATTCTTCCTTCACACATTTGATAGTGGTTAAGTTATAATAAAAATAAGCCGATAAACATTGTCAAAACCATCGGCAACGCTTTCAACTACAATTGAAAATATTTTAGGTATTATTCCTTTCTGATTATTTTGTTAATATTAGTTATTGATAATGATAATTTTCACTTTCAACCCTCATTTGTTTTGTTCTTGGGTATCCGCGATTATTTTAAAAAGAATTCATGTTTGTCGAATAATTTGTATAGCTATTTCAAATACAAAATGTTCACTTCAAATGAGAGTTTTTGAACATACATATCACTATTACTAAGGTTTTACCTTGTTGAAAATATGGTTTGAGGAATTTTATTAATGTTGTGTTAAATATCGTTGCAACAAACATGGAATTTGTGATTCCCTAAAAAAATTAAAATCCAAGTTGATTGCACAAATATGCATGAATTTGAACAAAGTTATGCACAGCTGATTTTGTTATGATTAACTTATGAAATTTGTTAGGGTAATTATAAAAAGAAAAACAAACTGGGAAAAATCAACGAAAAAAATTGAAAAACTAAAAAATGTCTTAGGAGGTCATGTTTTCATATTCAGGCATAAGTTTCAACTGTTAACAACTTTTCTCTATAATATTTTGCTGGAGTTTCTGAAATGAGGGCAATTTTTATATTTTTTGGCCTAACCTGTATGCAGTTTGATTCGCAACCACTCTAAGTGCACCTAAAATGATAACACTAACTTTCGGCACTATCTGTATTTTGGTTATGCAATGAATTAAAGGTGTTTAGCTCACATATTGTGACAGGACTATTTTGTGGTTCAGCATTTCATGTTTTCAGCATTATGAGAGTTTCTTAGTAGTTATCCAGGGGCATTGCTTCTGGAAAGACAAATGCAGTATCTGAACTAATATGTTTTCTTTAGTTAATTATTCATTTATTTACCTTGTAAGGGACAGTTAATCTTGTAAACTCATCTATTGGTACATCAGTGCCAACTACGCCGAGCAAATATGCTGTCCTAGTGTCGTTCATTTTGTTGACTTTCGTGTCATAACAGGGTATAGCTACAGAGCTAAGCAATCTGTATGGCTCGTTTATCGTTATGTCATTCTTATCGTCATACTGAAAAAAACATAACAATTATTCAATTTGTTAAATGGTATATGCAAATTATTCGAATGAAGCATCAATCAGTTGTTTTTCCATATCTATAGTCAGAATGTTTTGACACTTCCTGTGTAAAGAATCATAGAAATATTTGTACAATGTATGGAATATATGAAATACTAACTGTCAAATCTGCATAAGCGTGAGTCCACGAAACTGGATGCTCTTCCGCTTGTAGCACCAAAGGCCTTGCTATGACGCTGATGTACTTAAGAACAGAAGCTGTTATTTGCTCCAGACTCACAACAGAAGTATAGTAGCCTGAAAAATATTCAATCATAGTTATTACTGAATATACTTTCATCAACTGAGGAATTTGGATAAGAATTTTCAATTAATATATTTTTCAGTTCCTTTAAACACTCAATTCTCAGAGATGCATGCGAAACTTTCTCAACTCCATCAAACAGTCACATTTCCATGACAATACCAATAAATATCCCAAGTCCCACTAACTAGAAAGTTTTACCAAGCATTCAAGAATCAACCCCTAAATTTTGGAAACTGTTTCAAATTCATATTCTAAATCGAAGACCCTCAATATCCACTCAACTCGAATCAAATATGTCTATCAAATTTCTTGCAAATATTGTGAAAAAGTGAGAAAATGTATATTTGTCAAACAAAACAACTACTTGAGGACCAAAAAAGTGGACATAAAAGTGATTCTAGGAAGAATATAAAATCTTGTGTCTTAACAGTCTATGCAGTAGATAAGGATCATGGAATGGATTTTTAAAACGATCGTGTTCTGGATGTTGAAACTGATTTAAATAAGCGACTCTTCTTATAAATGGTTCACATACAGTAGATTAAACATTTCCATGTCTATGTCAATTTTGTTTTATCATTTTATATAAATCTTCATGTTGATCATCAGGCAATTTAATTTTTATTTCATATTTCGATATTTTCATATGTTTATCAACTTACGTTTTGCAGAGTCTTAACAATGAAAATACATATTTTCGAAAGCTCGACTAAGAAATCAGGTCAAATAGACTGCAACCCAAATATCTTTAGAAAATATATACAATGCATATCCCATATGATGGGATGACTTAATCAAAACAAACAATAAGGTTAGAAATTATAATAAGAGAAATAATGAAATACTTCCAAAGATTGGAGTTGGAAGTGTCAAACTGTATATAGAGTTATAGAATAAGTTGAGCCTACTGATTATTATTCAAAACGCGCATAGACGTGACACTATTTTTTTACTTGCCCCTATTTGCGCAAGACATCCACTTGATTTCTTCCACGTTTGCGGCGTCTTTTCCTATGGCGTAAGTAAATATTCTGACTGGAATATTCGAACCATTATTGAGATAATTATATTTCAGAATAACGTCACTTAAATTTCCATTCACTCCATCTGTGATGATCATGATGGCTTGATTGCAGTTACTATCTTCCCCATCGCAATTTCTTTTGACCCTGTACTAGAAAATAAGTGTGTCTGTCAAGTCCGCTCTGTAAGGAGACGCACAAAAGAAAGAAGAGAGAATTATTTTTATATGTGTTATATGGTAGTACTTCTTCGCTGTACTAATGGCAATTTTTCATAACTGTGTCACATTTTTTTAGTTACTTACTGACGCAAGGAGTTCGAACGCTACTTGAAGAGCATGATCTAGTTGAGTTTTTCCATCCGGTATGAGCTTCGATATCGCACTTTTGAAAATGCTAATGTTCTCTTCGGTAGCTTGAACCAACATATTGGCAAAGCATGGAATCGTATAATTGGCCACAGAAGAGTAATTGAGAATGTTGACATAGTCATTGTTTGAAAACGTGTCCAAAATACTAGAGGCCGTCATTACAGCAATGTGGTGGCCAATACCTATAAAAAAATTTGGAGTCAGAAGTGGATTTTCTAGATTTCAAGACCTACCAGTCATTGAACCAGAGTTATCTATCAAAATAACTACGTCCTTTGTACATGTTGCTGCTTCTATGAACCAGGTACGAATGCGACAGTCAAACAGTAATAAATCTCTTCCGCTATTTGCAGAATTTCCCGGCCATTTGTGTGCTGGAAACGATTTCATGAGATTAAAAAAAATATGTTTGAAAAATTGTGTGAGAAGTTACAATTGTACGTCCATTTATTTAAAGTCAATGAACAAAATAAATATTAATTACGTCGTAACTGATCCTTTATCAGCAACTTGCTTTCCTCACGGCTTCGCATTGTTGCAATATAAGGTTGTAATTTTTTTTATCGTGAAACACACAATAAATCGACTTTGATTTCAAAAACTGGATAAGGATTAGTATCATGATGTGTTTTGATCAATTGATTTGAACACATACTATAAACTCACTTTCTGAGACCCAAGACTTATGCTAAATGGCAAAGAATAAACGAATTCAACTCAGCTTTATTTATTGAAAAACTATTTGTACATAACTACTTGTAACAAGAAATTTCACTTCTATCAAAAATTCAAATTTCAACTTGCCGCATATTTGAATGACATTATTAAAAATATTAACTTCATTCAAAAGAGTTTTGCAAATTATTTTTTTTATCGTTCATAATTGCCATCGATAAAGTTCAAATTAAAAAATTTATTCTTGATTATCTAAAACAGAACAATTATTGTGTGACCTATCATTTATTATGAAATACATGTACATAATTATAGGGTCCAATATATAGCTATTAATTTTTTTATGATCTTGAGAATCTTTTCATTCATGGTTGGTGTTGTCTGAAACAAAATGAAGTATTATTGAACCGCACCCGAGGAAATTTCTGTTTTGATTCAAAAACGAAAGTGAAGTGTTTCTCTTCGTTTTCAACTGTTTGTGTTTCTCGTTATTTTCAGTGGAAGCCTTTTCCTTAAAGGAGGTGATTTATTTCAAGCAATTAACTTCTGGAATCAATATCTCAATCGGGACCATTTTTTGTAGATCTGTTGGTTTCCATTGAACCACGGACGAATCAAATCTTTGGTATTTACTTGGAGCGTAGGTTAACCAACCGCCACGAGCATTTTTCTGTGGTTTGGAATCTATGGATTTCTGAATACCTTTTTTTACTGCTGATCAGTTTTGGATCAATAACTGAGTTACTCCAATTCGACTTACACCACTTCACAAATTCAGGACCAAAAAGCAGGACTATTTTTCTATTCAACCCTTCAGACTACATTCACATTCATGAATTTACATACATGAAAGACCACACCTTCTGCTGATAACATCCAGAAACAAAGGACTTATTCTTGTATTTGTGCAAAACCTTTAGTAACAAGACGGTCTTTATATTGTTATGCTCCATATCCATCATCGGACTTGACTTTGAACACCCATTTTGTTTGAACAATTGTTTTGTCAGGAGAAAGATTCACTAACGTCCAAGTATCGTTATGTAAAAGAGCATTTTATTTCTCTTGCATGGCTTGCTACCAAGACGACACGTCCGGTCGGCTGAATGATTCTTTAACTGTTTCTGGATCACTTCTGTTTCCATCGATTTCACCGATATGTGTGATAATCTAAGAAATCTGTAGGTTCGAAAATTCGTCGGAGTAGATTTTCAACTGGTGGCAGACCTTCGATATTTTTATCGGAATGATTTGAATTTGAATAAGGTTGATTTCTTCTATTTTTTCAATTTTACTTCTGCTATTTTCATCAATTGGCTCAGGAATCAAAGTTTCTAGCGGAGAAAAATTCGGAGCATTTGAATTTAACGCTGGAATGTTCTAACGCTGGAAAATTTCATTTTCTATCAATACGACGCCTCGACTATTGACAATTCTCCGATTGTCAGTGTTGATTAATCGATATCATTTTGTATTTTCACAATTTTCAACAAAAGTCACTTACCTGTTTTTTTCATCCCATTTTCCTTTATTTTCTTTCGGAATATGCACCATGGATTTACTACCAAAAATGCAGAGATGACTGACATCTGATTTGCGGATTATTCGCAGGCGTTCGATAAATAAGACAAACGGCGGTAGAAACAGTTTTAGCTCAATATCTACTCTTTGGACAATCCGGCTTCACGTAGCATTGTCCTAGCCTTTTCTACTATGGTTTTATTGATTCTCTCGGCTACCCTGTTCTGTTGTGGTGAATAAACAACTGTCACCTAATGTTTAGTGTCTAACTCTTTCAAAAGGTTCTTAGTTTGATGGTTTATATACTTTTTTCCATTATCTGAGCGTAGGAACTGGATCTTTTTGTTTTATTGGGTTTTGATGAATGATTTGAATTCTTTGAGGGTCTCATGAACTTGACTTTCATAAAACCTTTTTCGAATGATCGTCGATGAGAGGAAGAAAATACTTGAGCCCCCAATGGAAGTCGTCTCAATTTCATTTGTTCGTTAATCAGATATTGCTCTCAGTTGAGGTATTAAAAAAGTAGAAAGAAAAAAAACCATGACTACAAGAAAGTTCAACTCAAATTTGACGATTTCCAAGTCAGTGCATAGTCAATTTCTGCCCAATTTATTCAAAGAGATACTACCTATAGAAATAAAATCTCGAAACAATCATATCTCCCAACGTACCTACGCAGAAGGTTCTAGTAAACGGTCTGGTGAACTATAACCCCATATCCCGTGCCACATTGAATTATATCCGATAGAAATTTATGATTTCAACGCGGTTTGTAAAATCTCTTGATTGATTTCAACGCAGTTCGGCTGCACTAATGAGAGATAATACTTTCTACTACTCCACATGGAGTAGTAGAAAGCCAAAAACTTTCTTTCCGAGAAATTAATCACTCCTAAAAATATAACCCCTTCAGATTCAAATAAGATTCCTCTTAGCTGGGATTTAATCAAATAGGTAAATGAATGTCATTACGATGTTATCGATGACATAAGTAAATCAAACTTATTCCGTGACTTTAAAAATCGTAATTCATGAATGAATTGTGTGTATTTTCTATAATGTTATCCAATTTGGTACTGAAGAGCCTTAAGGCAAGTGTCTTACGGCAAAACATCGATGTCTACCAGTGAGGATGATTAAAATTTAAGATGGAGTAGTAGAAAGCCAAAAACTTTCATTTCCAAAAATTATCCACTCCTAAAAATATAACCCCTTCAATTCAAATGAGATTCCTCTTGGCTGGGATTCAATCAAATAGGTGAATGAATGTCAATACGATGTCATCGATGACATAAGTAGATAAAACTTATTCCGTGACATTAAAAATCGTAATTCATGAATGAATTGTGTGTATTTTCTATAATGTTATCCAATTTGGTACTGAAGGGCCTTGAGGCAAGTATCTGACGGCGAAACCTCGATTTCTACCAGTGAGGATGACAGTGTCCCATGTAAGTGCAATTTGTTACCATTCATTTAAAGTAGAACTCCTGTGAATGATATCTGATTTTATTCCATAACGAATGTTTGGAATACAAACTGAGTAGAGAAAAGTATGTTCTGTATAATTCAGTGTTCATATAAAAGTATTTGTGTCGGAAAAATTTTTTTCTTTCGTGTAATTCAATGTTTATATGAAAGTAGCTGTTTCAGGAGGGCTTTCTTCCAGTTTGTGTCTGAAAGTTACTTCTTTGCATGATATACACATCCATGTATAGAGTTACTTATTTTCAAATTGATTACTTCCTTCCTTTCTTTGGAAGATTCCCACATTTTTTTTGTATCAAGATGGAGTAGTAGAAAGCCAAAAACTTTTTTCCCAAAAAGTACTTAAAAACTTGAATAGCTTCATCATCACAATTTGTGGGATGGTCGACGTGGGATAGAAGCTAGGTTTCGAGACTGGGACGTCAGCGTCCTAGGTTTGATTCATACGGATAGTATCTTTTTTTAACCACTCAATTTTCAAACTATTTGAAGTTGAATAAAATAACAAAATCAATTCATTCGGAGCCAAAACTTATCAGATAGCATCATTTCCACAACTTCCAAATCCAGACCTTTATAATGTGCATACGTTTCGAAAATCCTCTGCCCCCTTACTAATAGAAGCAGGGGGAAAAATCACTGCTTTGGAGAGTCATGGAGGGTGGAAGTCATCGTCTGTGGCAGAAGGATATATGGAAGATTCGAAGAAAAAAAAAACTGTAGATACCATCTGTTATGATATTCAGCTGTTCAGGTTTCAATATCAATTTTATTAACAAAAAGTGAATTTGTTCATATGAATTATTCTAAATATGATTATTATTATTTTCAGTCAATAGAAGCTTTTTGTTATGGTATTTAATGAAACTAGTATCATATGCTAGGAATCGCACGTTGAAAAGTAAGTCCTTGTTAAACATTAGCTTTCAAAAGGGCGACAGCTGGAAAATATGTTTCTAAACTCTTTTACTTTTTCTGAAGTAGTAGAGCGAGGAATTATATTATTTTCCTTATCCTTCAATTTAGTTTCAAAACTTTTATTCACTTTCAGTTGATTTTTGTGTCGTTTCCATTTTAAACCGCCCTTTACCTCTACAATGTAAGTTCTACTGTCAATTTTCTTTGAAATTATTCCTTCACACCACGGTGACTTCCTCGATTTGGAATGTCGCACCCAAACCTTTTCCAATTTATTAAAAATAATATATTTTCCATAACTGTAATATTTCATTTGATAATCCTGTCTCTTTCAACTGAAGGTATATAGCATTAAATCGAGTCTGGTAGGCATTTTTCGTCCCAGTAATAATTTAGACGTGTCTTCCTGGTGGTAGTGTGTGGTGTACTTCTGTAGTGAAATAAAAAACAATCTATGATGTGGTTGATACTTCTTCTTTTCCTTCAATGAATGCTTTTTTGAAATGTTTCAAGTGCTGATTCTGCCAACTCATTTGTGGCAGGGTCATATGGGGCTCCTTTTATATGTTTGATACCTGGGATTAACAGAAGTTGCCAAAGAAGCCATATACTTCCAGAGATTTTTGTCTGAACTGGGGTTTCAAGAATTTGAAGGACGTCATGATTCATAATGACAATCGTAGTGCCTTGATGCCAACATTTTATGCAGAAAGCAAGCATATAGACATACGACACCATTTTGTTCGTCAAGTACTAGTAAACAAGAAAG